AAAACATAACGATATGGTTTATTCCCTTAGAATGAACAAACACAAGTAATTAATGAAAATTATGTTGTTGTTGTTTTTTAAAGACCGTAGGAAGAAAAAAAACAAGGTTGAAATATGAAAAGTAAAGACCAGCAATGTTGATTTTGAAAATAGCAGTGAGGTAAACTGAATTAGCTCAAATATTTTAGTAAAATCAAGGTTTTAGCAAATTTTAAATGATTTTTTTTTTATGTTTTATAGGCCTTCAAATGGACTTTTCTGTAACTTCGATGCATATCCTACCCACCCACCCCTTAAGATATTTGGGAAATAACTTTTATTCCTTGGTGTTTTTTATACATAAAACACAATAAGAAAATGACAATTTTCATGACACTTTAAAACTTTATCGTTTTATACATACCATTATGTTTAATGAATATCAAAATTTGTGGAGAAAAAAAATTCAAAATACATATAATTATACATGTAGGCAAAAGGCAAGCGGCAATAATGTAACACCCCTCCATTTTTTTTTAAATCTCAGCCCCCTCCCCCAAATTTGAAAAAAGGAGGTTATAACAGCTCCAAAAATAAAAATTATTAAAAAAAATTGTTAGTTAATTATCTGAGCCCCCCCCCCCTCCCCTCCAAAAAAGGGAGGAGTTAAATTATAGCATCTGCAAAAATGTAAAATTGTAAATTAATTTTTTTTTTAATCAAAAATAATTATCATTCCAGGTTACAATTTCTGAGACTAATATCAAACATTTTTGTTTCCTGTTCATTGTATTCCACCTTATAAAAAGATAATAGTAAAATAAATTCAGACTTTTTTGTAACTAAGTTGTTTCTGTTTCACTTTATTACGAAGATAAAAAAGTCCGGAACCATAATTATTGTCAGAATTAACGTTCCGGGTTACAATTGCGGAGAGTATTTTCAAACATATTTGTTACATGTACTAGGTTGTTTCTTTTCCACTTTATAACGAAGATGAAGTAGCCCGGAACTAAAATTATGGTCATAATTAACGTTCCGGGTTACAATTGCTATGTATTTTCAAATATTTCTGTTACAAGGTTGTTTCTTTTCCACTTTACTACATAGAAAAAGTAGCCCGGAACCAAAATTATGGCCATAATTAACTTTCTGGGTTGGAGGTGCTGAGAGTATTTTCAAATATCTTTGTTACTAGGTTGTTTCTTTTCCACTTTATAACGAAGATAAAGTAGCCCGGAACTAAAATTATGGTCATAATTAACGTTCCGGGTTACAATTGCTGAGAGTATTTTCAAATATCTTTGTTACTAGGTTGTTTCTTTTCCACTTTATTAAGAAGATAAAGTAGCCCGGAACTAAAATTATGGTCATAATTAACGTTCCGGGTTACAATTGCTATGTATTTTCAAATATTTTTGTTACTAGGTTGTTTCTTTTCCACTTTATTACAAAGATAAAGTAGCCCGGAACTAAAATTATGGTCATAATTAACGTTCCGGGTTAGAATTGCTTCAAGAGTATTTTCAAATATCTTTGTTACTAGGTTGTTTCTTTTCCACTTTATTAGGAAGATAAAGTAGCCCGGAACCAAAACTATGGTCATAATTAACGTTCCGGGTTAGAATTGCTGAGAGTATTTTCAAATATCTTTGTTACTAGGTTGTTTCTTTTCCGCTTTATTACGAAGATGAAGTAGCCCGGAACTAAAATTATGGTCATAATTAACGTTCCGGGTTACAATTGCTGAGAGTATTTTCAAATATCTTTGTTACTAGGTTGTTTCTTTTCCACTTTATTACGAAGATGAAGTAGCCCGGAACTAAAATTATGGTCATAATTAACGTTCCAGGTTACAATTGCTGAGAGTATTTTCAAATATCTTTGTTACTAGGTTGTTTCTTTTCCACTTTATTACGAAGATAAAGTAGCCCGGAACTAAAATTATGGTCATAATTAACGTTCCGGGTTAGAATTGCTGAGAGTATTTTCAAATATCTTTGTTACTAAGTTGTTTCTTTTCCACTTTATTACGAAGATAAAGTAGCCCGGAACTAAAATTATGGTCTTAATTAACGTTCCGGTTAGAATTGCTGAGAGTATTTTCAAATATCTCTGTTACTGGGTTGTTTCTTCCCCACTTTATTACGAAGGTTAAGTAGCCCGGAACCAATTTATGGTCATAATTAACTTTCTGGGTTGGAAGTGCTGAGAGTATTTTCAAATATCTTTGCTACTAGGTTGTTTCTTTTCCATTTTATTACGAAGATGAAGTAGCCCGGAACTAAAATTATGGTCATAATTAACGTTCCGGGTAAGAATTGCTGAGAGTATTTTCAAATATTTCTGTTACAAGGTTGTTTATTTTTCACTTTATTACAAAGAAAAAGTAGCCCGGAACTTCAATTATGGTCATGATTAACGTTCCGGGTTAGAATTGCTGAGAGTATTTTCAAATATCTTTGTTACTAGGTCGTTCCTTTTCCACTTTATTACGAAGATAAAGTAGCCCGGAACTAAAATTATGGTCATAATTAACGTTCTGGGTTACAATTGCTGTGTGTTTTCAAACATCTTTTGTTACTAGGTTGTTTCTTTTCCACTTTATTACGAAGATGAAGTAGCCCGGAACCACAAATAATTTTCCGGGTTACAATTTCTGATATTATACTTTCATGTAAACTAGTTAAAACTGATTCTTCGAGAAACATTATTTTGTTAAAAAAACACGATTACCCGCTGAATGATGAAGCCACGCATTCCAGCGTAGCAACATGCAACACTGTTATGTGTACATGTATTTGTATAAAAATTCAGTATAATATAATAAATATTGCATGTAGTTGCGTTTAACATTTAAAATTTTCACCTTTCGAAAACCATTGTCAACCTCGGCTGCGCCTCGATTGACAATGGTTTTCTTGGGGTGCATTCAACTATATGCAATATTTATATAAGAGTAATTTCAAAGTTATTTGTTACCTGTTCATTTTCTCCCACTTTATAACAAAGATAAAATAACCCGGGACCAAGTTAACGGTTATAATAGACGTTCCAGGTTACAATAGCCAGAGTATATGTAATTTTAATTTCACAGGTGTTTTTCTAGTGACAAGACTTTCTCTAGGATACCAACAATTTTGACCTTGACCTTGGAGTTTGAACTATTAAAAAAAAAACCCTTTAATTTAACCTTGGCCATAACCTTTGACATTTGATGCTAAGGCTTTTATATTTCACATGTATATTTCATGTGACGGGTCCTTTCCCTGGGTATCATTGATTTTGACCCTTTGAGTTTGACCCACTTTTTAAAAACTATAACCTTGGCCATATATAACTTTTGAACGGTTGGTTCTTGGGCTTTCATATTTCACAGGTATTTTCATTGATACAGGTCCTTTTTTGGAAAACAACATTTCTGATCTCTTGACCTTGAGCTTAGAGTTTAACTTGCACTTTAGAAACTTTACCCTTCACAAAAGACTGCCGTGCGGGAGCATCAGTGTTTCACAAACGCATTTGGTTTTTTATTACGACTCACTTTACCTAATGTGTTTACGTTAAAGCGTTTGAACTTTTTTTTAACTATTAATCTAAAACAATTCCAGTATTTAATGTGAGTATGTAACCCTGTCTTTGACACATAATCTTTCAATTTTAGCCTTAAAAATATATTATTATCAATTGCTTTAGACATATATCTTATCGCATTTCAACAATAACAAACAATGCAAAATAATACACAATGGCATTGTATGGTAGTTTTTATAGATGACTCAGCCGTAATATATAATTATATCATGGAGAATTACCATATCATATAAGAAAAAAACCGGACCACCCCTGGAATTTGTAGAGTTATTTAATGTATATACTAAACCAACTAAATGCCTTGGTGACCTTGGAACCCCCCTCCTAAAAAACGTGGATCCGTGTTAAGTTGATATGAAAAGTCATAGATATGAAGCATAAGATGTCAACCCCTCCCTTCCCCCCACCGAAATAGGTTTTTTACGTTTAGGGAAGGAGTTTACGTTTTTTTGTTTGTTTGTTTGTTTGTTTTTTTTTGTCAAAAAATTGCTGGGTTGGATTTTTTTTTTACTGGGGTGGACCCCTCCTGTAAAAAAAATCCTGGATCCGCGCCTGGTTTTATGAAAATTCACATAAATATCAATATAAAAATGAAAATTTATTCAAATATGTGTGGCAGTTGGCAGTAAGCAGTGAGCAGTTGGCAGTAAGCAGTGAGCAGCTGGCAGTTAGCAGTTGGCTGTCGTATATGGAATTCCATACCAGTTTCCAAACATCGTTTGCGATATAAATTTATCAATTAATCCATTGATATTCACAATAATTTATAATTGTTAATAATATTTTTAAATCATTTATTCTTGAAAAAATATTGTATTTCGAAGAGAAGATAATTAATGAGCATTTAGAAATGATTGTTTAATGATTAATTCTATATAATTTCAAATATTTTTAAATGTTTTTTCTCATAAATAATAATAATTGTATAATGAATGAAACATTTATAACATATCTGTACTTTATAAGACACCCCCCCCCCAAAAAAACAACAACAACAACAACAAAAACCAATCGGGCGTGGTATACGGCATACTATGAAACCCGTCAATGGCGGCTGACTTCCTCCAATATTTAGGCCTACGATAAAATGGGCTCTAAAACCTTAGGGGTAAGGATTGACCTCAAAAAGCTTATGTTTGTGAGGTATTAGTATCCGTATCAATTGATATACACAGTCATTGCAGTATTTCATCAGTCATTTCGGCAGAAACCCGACATTTCGGCGTTTCGATGCACCGCGTTAGGCCTGTTGATAGTTTATAACGGAGTCTTGTAAAATATTGCGGAGTCCTCTTTATTTGGTAATATTTAAAATGCTAAAAATTCACCTTAACAATATTTTATTGAAGCTTAAATGTTTGCAAATAATTTATTAAATATATCTTTTTTATATATTAACCTCTCATTGCGGATTCGGTATGTTATAAATGGAATACCCAAAATACCCACTTCCATTTTTCAATGAAAGAAAAAATGACATGGCGGAAAAACAATCATTGCAGCGACACACAGGCCTAATGTTGGGATCCCGGGAACAAAACGTACAACAACCAGGCAGGGACGACTTGGAACCTGGCTATGTGGAGGAAAGATTCCGTGTAGATCGCAAAAAACTCGAGCAGATGCTCCAAGGTAGTTTCTGTTTGTGCTTACAAGTAGCCTAAACTTGCGATACAGAGACAATTCATAATCATGATAATGGTTATTTCTTTTAATGACTATTATTATTATTACTATTAAAGATTGCACTTATTCATTTCATTAAAAGTAATCTTAAACTCAAATGTAAGTTGAATCCATCATTTATAACATGACGGGGGTTATCGTTGTATTGGTGTATGTACTGCACTAATTGGTGCATTGCCAGCTTACCGAATAGTAAGTTTGTATAAGTTAGAGAACATTCTTTTTATCATATTTGACAATATTTCATCAGTATTGAGTAAGTGGTTTGTGAAGGTTAGACAGATATGGCTACCCATGATCTGATGTTTCGAAAATGTTCCAGCAGTTTGTTTAGTCACAACTGACACCAAACAAAAGACTTTGTCACTGATGTCAAAATGATGGTAATCTGTCTAAATTGTGTATGTATTTGCACTTACCTCAGATTTTTTGGGAGTAAAATTTTGGTCCAAAACTCAGCTACAGTCACTGGACATGGGTATTCATCACTAGTGATGGGACATCGGTTAATTTTCATAATCGATCATCGTTTGGAATCTGTTACTGCTTCCGATGCGATTTTACCAATTATAATCAGATGTCATAGTTTTGTATATAAAAAGTAGACTATTACAATTATTTAATATTATTTCTTTAACATGAATGTATAAAATGTATAATATATTGTTTTCTTTGTTGTTTTGCTTCTTTCACACTTTCTATATATGCACCTTTCGGTTCTTAATCACCTCTGCTTCATGCTAGTTGGCTAATATCAGACGCCATTTTCTTTCATTAAGAAGAAATAAATTTTAAACCAGAAATGGATAATTCCGGAATGTATTTTATTAGAAGTATGTTTCTGATGATCGATTATGAAAAATTACAATCGATCATCAGAATTGGTAGCATTTTTTCGTTGACAATCGATATTTTCTGATTATCGGTACAAAACTATTCATCGTTGACGTCAAAATACACAGATGGCCGTAAAAGTTGTCACAGCTATTTTTGATTGTGCTATTTTTAGAGAACACATTGGGTTCAGAAATTTGTACAGAATATATGTCACAAATTTCTGGTGACATCAGTATGTAAAATTCTGTCTATTTATCTCTAGAATTTGTTCAGTAAGACAGACAAAATAAATTTATCAAATATTTGTAGATTGTTTGGAATAGCAAGGACAACTTTGTATAGTATTATTAAAAAAAATTGAAGATTTTGGCAGTATAGAAAACAGGCATCGATCTAGAAGAAAACTTGAATTCAACATGTGCGACTAACTTTCAAGATCAGTGAAAAATAACAGAAAGGAAACTTTAGATGAATTACAAATACAAATAAGTATAGAAAGGATTATTCTTAATTTTCTTAATCTGGGAAAAGAAAATATTTAATATGGAATATAGAAGGGGATAAAAGGAAAAGCAGATGGTTGTCCATCAATTTCAGAGAAAAACATACCGTATATACTCGCCTATAAGTCGGTTTTTTAGGAGTTAAATTTTGGTCCAAAACTCTATGTCCGACTTATAGGCGAGTCATAAAAAGATTAGTATTTTCTGGATGGCGAAATGTAGTATTTTATAAATATTTCCCACGATTATCGTTGAGTCTGGATATATTATATCATTTATGCATTCTAAGATTATACATAAAGTACAAGTATTTACATATTTTAATAACTTTATTTTTATTTTAAGTGTGCATAATGTATTTTTCTTAATGATTTAAAATTACATATCGGTGTCATTTCTAAGAATATTGATCGAAAAACATCAGAGCATTAGTTTGAAATTGTCAACTGATTCTAGCAAAAAGTTGTACCGACTTATAAGCGGGTCAATGGCAAATCAATCTTAAATAACCTCAAAAAATACAACCGACTTATAGGCGAGTATATACGGTACATGAAATATGTGGAGATAACAAACAGTTAATTTGAGCTCAAAAGTCCATTAAACATTACAAAATAGAAGCAGAGCAAACACGGACCTCTAAGACATCAGAGGTGGGATCAGGTGCCATGGAGAAGTGAGCATCCCCTGCCAACCGGTCACACCCGCTGTGTGCTCCTTGTCATGATCGTGAAATAACAGAAAAATCTGTCGACAAATTAGTGTGTAAATAATGGCCTAACAATTAGTATGAAAAAAGTCGGTCAGCATTTGACTTAATGAAAGATTGTATTTGCTGACAAGGTCATTGTATCGACCATAGAACTTACAAAATGATGACTTTAAACAAGACTGCTGATATTCTTGTTTCATCAACTTGTTTGTCAATAATTTTCCTCATTTTAGAAATTGTTTATACATAGAGCATGCTCTTGCGTATCGAATCAACTGAGAGATATAAATCCCATATGCAGGTGATGAAGGTATATTGCTGCATAAGTAAGGAAAATCGAGGATTGAAAAGTTAAAGTCATCATGTTTATCATAAAGCTTTGTTGTTAGATTACCATTAACGTCTTTTTCTAATAAAATATCCAAATATGAAACAGATGTATCAGACTCTGTGGTATCTTTTATCTCAAGCTCACCAGGATATATCGTGTTGACATAAGAATGGAAATAACCATTGTTAATTGACAATAAGTCGTTGATATATCTAAATGTCGAGTTGAAGGCCACAGCAAGTGTTTTCTTCTTTTGACATAAAAGATTTTGAACAAACTCTGCTTCATATGAATACAAAAATAGGTCTGCTAATAATGGGGCGCAATTGCTACCCATGGGAATTCCAATGGATTGTTGGAAGACCTGGTCTCCAAAAACCACATAGATATTGTCAATCAGAAACTCAATCATCTTTTTAATGTCAACTTCAGAGTACTTGTGTGTACAATCAGATTGTTTTTCAACAAAATAATTTTGCAAATGACCAATGACAAGGTAAGTAAATTTACGAGTTCCATTTTTATTGAAAAAGCAGCTGTCAATTATATCAAAAAGCCTGGACTTTAATTTATTGTGGGTAATGGTTGTATATAAAGTTGAAAAGTCATAAGTTTTTATGTTGTTGATTTTAGTAAAATTTTGTGATTTCAAATGTTCCAAAAGTTCCTTGGAATTTTGTAGTATTCACATCTGATTGACACCACTTCTCGAATATATTGTTGCACAGTACTCCTGAAGTTTCTCCTTCACTACTGTTAATATCTTAGTGAGGAGTAAAGAAAGAGGCTTGGTAGAACAGTTGCTGGAACCCGCAATGTATCTTTGTTTGTAAGGAATCATATGAAGTTTCGGAATCCAATATAGATATGGTAATTCAAATTCATTTTTGTTGTTTGGAATATTAAATATATTCAAAACTGATATATGATTTTGAAGAATTTCCTCCTTAGAAAGTGAGCTATGGGTATAAGTTGGATTACCACTTGTAGAATTAAATCCCAGTTCCTCTATCATATCATGGAATAAGTCACAAAAGAATTGGACTGCGGATCATCATTAGAAAAACTAAGTATTCGGTGATGTATGCCAGCAGATTATTAAAAAAATAATCGTTTGTATGTTTTGTGGAAGACCGCCGAAGTTGACAACCCCCATCTCGTGTATGCGCCATCGAGGGCCAACTTTCTGTTTTGATCTTAGGCTGTATATGTGACAAAGATACAGGAATTTTGACAGTGTAAATTGAAATATTACCTCAGAAAAATGTATAGATATATCAAAAAATTATTTGTGGTCTGTTATCGCTCGATAATTTCTTGACTGAATTTACATCTTTCAGAATGAAGATGTCCCCGTACATCGATCCTCAATACTTTTTATGGAAGAAAATAAAATTATAACTGGATCTTGGGCAGTACAGTCTCTAGAAATAAATATTATAGAAAATATTTGGTTACAATTTAAAAGAAATCTACTTGTTAGCTCACCTGAGCCGAAGGCTCAAGTGAGCTTTTCTGATCGAAATTTGTCCATTGTCTTTTGTCATCATAAACTCTTCTCATTTTCATCTTCTTCTCAAGAACCACTGTGCCAATTTCAACCAAACTTGCCACAAAGAAACTTATATGGAAGCATCCTCAGGTAGTGAAGATTCAAGTTTGTTCAAATCATGACCCCCAGGGGTAGGGTGAGGCCACAGTGGGTGATCAAAGTTTTACGTAGGAATACCAAGGAAAAAATCTTTAAAAATCTTCTCAAGAACAGGAAAGCCATGAGCATCCTCAGGTAATGTGGATTCAAATTTGTTCAGATCATGACCCCGAGGAGAATAGAGGGGCCACAACAAGGGATCATAGTTATACAAAGGAATACAAAGGATATATGAATAAAAATGTTCTTCTTAAGAACAGCAAAGCCATTATTTGTCATTTTAATTCAAAAGCATCCGTATGAAGTATAGATTCAAGTTAGTTCAAATCAACCCCCTCTCCCCCCCCCCCCCCCCCCCCCAAACCACTTTTATATTTAAACTTTTCAAGACTGAACTGATTTCTACTTTTTCCTAGCCAGAATGCTCAGGTGAGTGATGTGGCCCCTGGGCCTCTTGTGATAGTGTTGTTACAATAGTTGCTGACTATCGAAAAATCATAGCCTAAAGCAGCACGTAGGTGTCAATCAATAGAAAATTTTAAAACTGATAGTTGCTATTTTTTTTTCAAAAAAATTTTTTTTTTATACAAACTGGTTTATCTTTTATCATTATCACTAACTTTTGAACAGCTGATCAAAGAAGTAACAGGGTTCTGGAAAAACATAAATATATATTATATTCATGATATTCAGCAGCTTTATTTCACAATTCCTTCTAAACTAAGAGGAGTAAAAAGAGTGAAAAGCTCTCTCACAAAATATTAAGGTATGACATACAGTATTAAGGGTCCTCCACACCCTGTGACTTCTATATCAAGAAAAAAACTTTTACTTCCGGTTTTGTATAGTTTGTGAACTGACGATTTGCCTGGTACAGCCTTTAAGAGAGTTTTATAAACGCTTTAGAGATGA